CCCCCAAAGCCCCAGTAGATAGTTGTATGTCATAGCTGCACACCCTTCTGGTTGCTGTATGTGGGACTCGGCCCCAGGATGGACAGAGAAGTGGTGCCTCAATGCGCACCCGGGATCCGAACCCGGGCTGCCAGCATCGCAGCGCGCGCACTTAACCACCAAGCCACAGGGCCGGCCCTACTGATTGGGTTTTAATTTCCATTTTGAGAGAATGAAGGGGTGGAATTAGATGATCTCTCAGGCCTAGTTCCAGGGCTAACATTTTATATAAATGTAATTTGTCCTTTTTAGAAACTTGAGGTATAATTTACATATCATAAAACTAACCTGTTTCAATGATTTTTAGTACATGTACTGCAATAATCCAGTTTTAGAACATTTTCATCACCCCAATCATTTTGTTATTCTTAAACCTCCTGGCCTAAGGGAGAAAGAGTAGTAAGGATCCCCTTTGACACCTTAGCAGTCTACATCCACTACTTGCTTCTTGTTGTAGCTTTTCCCCGTCCCTTGGGAGCAGCTGTGTACATTTTCTTTTCCTAAATCAAAGGTGCTTTGATATAAAAAGATCCCTCAATATGTGTGTGCGTGTATTTATTTATTTTGATAAAAGCACTAATTACTTGGAAACCCTCTCCTCACACAAACATGTTCATACTCTCACTTCACATGTCCTTTGTTATAAATAGCCAGGAATTGTGGGAAGAATATCAGGGGATTTATATTCCAACAAACTTTTGCCTTGAAATTCTTGTGGATCACTCATCTTTATTAAAGAAGTGTGTGTGAGATAAAGATTATCTGGTATGACAGCCAATGCATAACTATAGAATTTACCCCAGAACACATTTAGAGGATAAATAAAGCAGCAGAGGGAAGATTTAACATCAAGGTGGGGCACCGGCAGGATCGTCCTGATTCTCCCTCAGTAGTTACACCCCACTCTCCAACTGAGACCCTGGGTTCTCTGTGACCCAACACCCAGACCTGGATCTCTTCACCCTGTCACTGTGCATGGTCAGGTCCTTGGTCAGCTTCTTCTGGGACCCCTCACCAGCCAAATGTCTACCATCATTCCTCACGGACTGCTTGCTTTCCTTGTAGGTCACGCAGGCAGTCTTTGTGATTTACATGCAAGTAAGGGGAAGGAGAAATACAAACGCCTTCCTTCTGAACAGAAAGCACGAAGCTCTGCTTTCACTCCCCGTGGTGGAGTCTGTGATGCTGGTGAAGGTTTGAGCTCTGGCGAAAGCTTTTCCCACACTGGCCACACTGGTACGGTTTCTCTCCAGTGTGGATCCTCTGGTGCAGTTTCAGGGTTGACTGCCGCCCAAAGCAGTTTCCACACTCGCCGCACGTGTAGGGTCTCTCCCCCGTGTGGACTCGCTTGTGTCTTTTCAGCTCTGAATTCCATGTGAAGCTTTTCCCACAGTCATCACATTTGTAAGGTTTCCTTACTGAGCGGGTCAGCTGGTGGCCAAGACGTTGCACATGACTGCTCAGACTTCTTTTACTTCCTTTGCCTTTCCTCAGCTCTCTCAGTGTGTGGCTCTTTAGGGGGCTACTGATGTATTCCAGTTCCCTGCAATGTCTCTGGTAGTGAGCAAACGGCTTTTGGGCATTTGGAGGGCTGACCTGCCTCCGTGACAAGCGGGGTTCATTCATATTCGTCCCTCTCGGTTCAGGACTCTGGAGACCATTCCCTTTGGCTCTGCCAGCTGACAATGCACAGGGCTTTGCTCCTTTAGCCCCCTCCTGTTGCGGGTTTTCCTTGTTGTCACTTTTCATTCTGGTGGCCTCTATAATTAGAAAGAATATGTATCATTTTCTGGGCTTCGAAGAAAGAACCTCAGCAAAAGAGTTATGAAGTATACTGCAAGTTTTCTCAAAGTGTGGTCCTCCACTGGCAACTTGCGTTAGACTCATCTAGGGCACTTGTTAAACAAAAAGGCTGCCCTTGCATCCCCATGGCTGCTGAGTTGGAATCTCTGTGGGTGTGACCTGGAAATCTGCAGTTAACAGGCTCCTGAGATGATTCTGATTTATATTAAAGTTAGGAACCAGGTTCTTCAATTCTCTTTAGGGAAAGGTTTAGGAAAGGAGAAATAGGGAAAAGCAAACCCATCAGACCTGAGTATCAACTAAGGAATGAAAAGAAAGAAGAGAGTTGAAATTTCAACACTGCAAATAGACTCTCACTTCCATGGACAGTGAATGACCACCACCGTCTCTTCAAATAATGGTAAATCCAGTGAATGTGGCATTTTCTTTCATTACAATGTTGACGGCATTTGTGTTTGGAAACTGTAATATGGGCTAGACATGTATCCTAATTACAAACTCCCCAACTGCTGACCATCAGGAGTGAGGATCAGGATGGAAGTGAGCTGGAATGGCCTGTGGGCAAGTCAGATGATCTAGAGCTGTGCTATCCCATAGGATTCCTGCCATGCGGGAAATTAGTGTGTGTCTGCACGCACGCACGCGAGCTATGCAATACGGCAGCCACTAGGTATATGTGGCTACTGAGTACTTGAAATGCAGCTAGTGTGACTGAAAACTGAATTTTAAATTTTGTTTAATTTTAATTAACTTAAATTCAGATTTAAATAAGCATCCCATACAATTATGGTCAATTGCTTTTCAACAAGGTTGTCAAAACAATTCAATGGGGAAAGAAGTCTTTTCAATAAATGGTGCTGGGACAACTGGATTTCCACGTGCAAAAGAATGAGGCTGGACCCCTACCTCACAACACATACAAAAATTAACTCTAAATGGATCAAAGACCTAAATGTAAGAGCTGAAAGAATGAGGTTGGACCCCTATCTCACAACATATACAAAAATTAACTCAATATGGATCAAAGACCTAAATGTAAGAGCTGAACTAATCCCTCTTTGAACAGAACATAGGTGTAAATCCCTCTGACTTTGGATTAGGTAATGGTATTTCAGATGGCACAAAAAACACAAGGTGACACAGAAAAAATAGATAAACTAGACTCCATCAAAATTAAAAACATTTGTACTTCAAAGGATACTATTAAGAAAGGGAAAAAACAACCCACAGAATGGGAGAAAATATTTACAAATTATATATAAGGGTCTAGTATCCAGAATATATAAAGAACTCTCACAACAACAATAAAAAACTAACCCAATTTAAAAATGAGCAAAGGATCTGAATAGACATTTCTCCAAAGAAGATGTACAATTGGCCAATAAGTACATGAAAAGATGCTCAACATCATTAGTCATTAGGGAAATAACTCAAAACCTCCATGAGATACCACATCACGTCTAACAGGATGGCTATAATCAAACAAACTGAAAATAGTAAGTAAGCAAGTATGTGGAGAAATTAGAAGCCTCACAGACTGTTGGCAGGAATGTAAAATGGCACAAGCCGCCTTGAAACAGAGTCTGGGATTTCCTCAAAAGGTTAAACATAGAGCTACGGTATGACCCAGCAATTCCATTTCTAGGTACATACCCAAGAGAAATGAAAACATGTGTCCACACAAAAACTTGTACACAAATGTTCAGAGCAGCATTATTGATAATAGCCAAAAAGTGGAAACAACCCAAATGTCCATCAACTGATGAATAAACAAAATGTCCGTATAATGGAATATTATTCAACCATAAAAAGGAATGAAGTATTGACACATACTACAACATGGATGAACCTTGAAAACATGCTAAGTGAAAGAAGCCAGTCACAAAAGATGATGTAGTGTATGATTCTGGACAATGAAATGTCCAGAATAGGCAAATCCAGAGACAGAAAGTAGACAGTGGTTGCCAGGGCTGGAGAGGAAGGGATGGAGAGTGACTGCTAATGGGTTTCTCTTTGAGATCATAAAAATATTCAGGAATTAGATAGTGGTGATGGTTGCACAAGTGTGTGAACATACTAAAAACTGCTGAACTGTACACTTTAAAAGGGTGAATTTTATAGTGTGTGAATTATATCTCAATAAATAAAATTTAAACAGCCACATGCGGCTAGTGGCAACTGTATTGGACAGTGCAGCTCTGAAGGAAGGCACTGTTGGATCTTAGGGATGAGGAACATGAGAATCTACCCTCTTGGGAATCAAATGAAAGGAGATGGAGACTGCACACACACCCAGCTGCCTCTGCTGAGGCAGGAGAAGGGAGTGTGTGTGGTCTACTTTCTTCAGGACCATGAAAGACATAGGTCATGGGGCAGGACCTCAGCCAGGGTCACAATGCTTTTCTACTGGACGCCCCAGGTCTTCTCCATCCCTGAGTTCTGAGAATAATCAAACCAAAGTGTTTCACTGAATGTAGCAAATCTTAAGGAATTAAGGCTCTAGTCTTCTTGTAAACCTCTTCTCTAACCTGCTGACCATATCCTGTACTCACATCACCAAGACTGGCCAAATCGTTACTGTCATTCAGTGTTAGAGATCACAGGACTGTGAGAGTAGGGCCAGCAATTACAATGGCATTGTACCAGAGATAGATAGGGAAATGGACGCAAGAGTTTAAAGCACAGACAATGTCACAGGAAGAGGAAGAGGCAGAAAATAATATGGAATGGAGCTTTTTCTCAGTGACAACATTCTTGAGGCCCTTCTAAACATAGGAGCATTTTAAGTGACGAAACTCAGCCACAGCTTGCATGGAAGTTCATCAGCGGTCACATGTGGATATGTTTTCACTGTAAGAAGCTCTGAAAGGGACAGAAAAAGTAGGCACTAGAATAATCCTGTTGTGCACTGGATTGTCAAATAGTCATTAACATAAAATGATAAAAACATACTTTATATGTATAGCATCGCTACCATTCTAATTAGTGAAATTTGTTAGGGAATAAAGATCTACTATTACATTCAACATTCAAAAAAAATAGCTAGTCTATGGCTTTTCAGAACCATGAGATGCTTTGATGGAGATAAATGACTGATGGGAGGGAGAGAAGAGGCACACAGTGTTTACCTGTTCCAACCAATTTGGGGGTTGGTTCCCGAAGGAGTGGGGATTTTTCCCAATGATCAGGGCTCAGCTGGTCCTGAGATCCTGCCTGTGAAGGCTCCTCCAGTGAGCTCTCTCTGGGATATCTCCTAGGAGTTTGCAGTTGAAAGTTTGGCAGTTCCTGTTCTCCAAGCTGAGATCCAGTTTTCTCCAGGAGCACCTTCTGCCCCTGCATACAAACGGCCACCTAGGAACAAGCCCCATGCATTAGAGAATAACCTGAGGGCTGACTGAGGGCAGCTTGACCTCTCACTGCTCTGTAATGATACCTTTACCCTGGGAATTCCTGATAACAGCCTGGAGGTCAACTTTGATAGAGACCACTGAAACTCTCAAAGGAAGCAAAGGGAAGGACATACAGCATGACCAGAACGGGGCTGCTTCAAATCAGCCTATACTTCCTGAGAGGATGCCCCTAAAGCTTGGGCTTTTCTCTAGGCCTGGAGTCAAAGCCATCAGAGAGCAGGCACAAATATCAGTGTCAGTTATGACACTGGCCCAGCAGATTCCCACCCTCTGCCCACCACCTCCCTACTTCTGCTGGATACAGGCCCTGTAGGATCAGGAAGCAGTATGGCGGAGGCCGTTAAAAACCACCCTTATCTAATAAATTGTTCTGCTCAAGGCTCTTCTGGTAAGGAGATCCCAGTAGTAGTAAGGCTCTAAGAGGACTGTCCCATCCCTGTTCCCTAACTGCTTCTATTTCCCAAAGCACATGGTTGTCTGCTTCCTGCCTAGGCCCCAACTGGGGTCTGACTTGGGGGTGGGGATTGGAAGGAATACTGGCCAACTGAGCTGTAACTTCCTGATCCAGAGGCAATATGCAAGACACTTCACTGGAACAAGGTCCAATGAAGTTCCCCCCAAACCAAATTCCTAACCCACAGGATGACCCTGTCTGCTAAGAATCCTGATTGCAGGAAAACTTCAAGAGGAATGGACGGGGGGGGGGGGGGGGTGGGGGGGGGGGGTGAGGAACCTATTAGCAAAGATTCAAGAACTTTACTTGATTCTCCACTTCCTCACTGGAGGGCCCCTGGCTGGGTTTTCTAAAAACCTGTTACATTTCCCTGGCGGAGGGGTTCCCAAATAGAGGCCAGAATCAATGTTTGAAGCCATCTGGTCCATTTCCAGACTCTCTCTAACTAGGGAGGGATCCATAGACCAAACACTATCCAGATGAAAAAGAAATTCTGGGGACCACGAGAAAGGACTCGCCTTACCCACTGCTTTGGTCTCTTGGCTGCTCTGTGAAAATCTTCTACCAGGGTCACAATCTCCTTGCTGCTCATTGGACATTGATGCCTGACCCGAGCCTGGATCTCCGGAGGGAGGATGTTCAGAAACTGTTCCAGCACCAGCAGCTCCAAAATCTGCTCCTTGGTGTGCACCTCGGGCTGCAGCCACTGATGGCAGAGCTGTCGAAGCTGGGAGAGTGCCTCTTGGGGTCCAGACACCTCTTGATAACAAAACCGTCTAAAGCTCTGGCGAGACAGCTCAGGATCAGGGCAGTCTTTTTGAAGAGCAGGCCCCCGTTTCTCTTCTAGCTTTGTTATTATGTGTCTCTCTTGCTTGGAGGAAGCCTGAATGTGGGACTGCGAGCTCAAAGTTATCTCCATCTTAGCCGCCATTTTGGGGCTCAGGAGACAGCTTCTCTTTCCTTGTAAACAACTCAAACCTTCGGGATCATGGCCCTGGAAAATGCTAGAAAGATGCTAGAAAGGAAGCTCCTCTGAGGATGTTGGAGAGGACACGATGAAGACAGGGCCTTCTGATTCGCTAGCCCTGACCCCAAACACCTAAAGACAACACAGTCCTTGGGAGTGGGAAGAGTTTGTCTTTCCGCCAATTTCTTGAACTGTCTTGCAAAGCAGAAAAGCCATAACGTCCTAAAAGGAAATCGGGGGAAATACTGCTTTTATTTCAGCGATAAGCACACGAGGTCTCAGAGGAAATGCGCAATACGACCTAACAGGCTGCCAGGAACCCCTAGGAAAAGTTCCAGTTGTCATACAGTTAGCCCGCACCAACTCTCCCGCATCTTGCTTAGACCAACCTGGAGCATCTCGCCAGGAGCTACAGGGTGAGCCTAGGGGGTCACGGCGACGCCGTGGGCTGGGAGTCAGCGAAAGCCTCCTGCTCGCGAGCGAGGTAGACGGAGGGAGGCTCCGCAGGCCCAGCTGCTCCGGCCTCCGAGGGTGCTCCGCTCCGGCTCCGCGCCCCAGCTGGCCCAGGCTTCGCGAAGCTGCGGCACTGCGCCGCGAGGCTCAACTTCGTGGTCAGGTGCGAGCCGCGGCAGGCGCCTGCCACGGCAGCGTCCCCGACAGCCCCGCACCCCACGCCCACCTGCAGCGCACTTACCTCTCTGGGGAACGGGACCCGGAACCCAGGAGTCAGGGCTGGGGGCGGCGCCGAAGCCGCTCGTGGAGGACACGCCCACTGGCTGCCGAGGAACTACGCCGCGGGAGGGCCCGCCTCCTCCCCAGATGGATTGGCTCCTCGAGGGCGTTCTCTTTCGTCTATTGGCTGCTGCTTCTGTCGCTGCTGGAGAGGAACGGCGCCAGCCGTCGTAGTGCACCCCGGGAGTTGTAGTCCGCTGGCACTGCTTGGGTGCATGCGCAGTGGGCGGACTAGCGCGGGGACTTGCGACGCTGACTTCCGCCCGCGGCTGAGCGAGCTTACCGGAGTTACGAGCGCGCGCTTTCGGTAAGTGCTCTGCTTCCTCGCGACCGGGGGCTCGGGGCCGGACCCCACGCCGGCCTGGGAGCCCCTTGCCGCAGGGAGTCTTTTCAGGGCGGTTGGGCAAGGGCCGGGCGCCCTTCGCACGCTCCGCGGTCACCTTCCTGCGCCCCGGCCCTTCGTCCCGGTGCCTCTGGCCCACCCGAGACGGCCAGGTCGCGTCCCGATCCCTGTGGCCGAGCCCAGACTCCCTCTGGCCTGTGGCCCTGCTTGTCCCATCCCCTTGTCGCTGCACTGGGAGCCTGCGGACTTGTTTCCCTCTCCACTTCAGCCACAGTACCTAAGCCTAGCGCTGACTGCGCTGGGAGTACTCAGTGCATAACTTGCCGAGTGAAAAGTCAGTCAGCCCGACCCCCATTCTCATCCTGCTTTCCGCTGAGTGTTTGGGTCAGCGCCAGAGAGAAACACATTTCTGAGACGCCAGCATTTTAAAATTAACTATGAATGGGATGTTCAGGATCAAGAGGACTGCAGGTCCGCCTTTTGCATGAAACTAGGATAGCATTAAATTATTCTTCAACCAGATAAGGTGCAGGATGTACGACAATGTGTAAGGCAAGGGGGACAGGTTCTAATCCTGGCCTTGCTGCTGAGGACCTGTGCTCTGACCTGCGTTTTTGTTAAAGAGGACCGCTAACAGTCATGCCTTTGATCTCTATCTCTAGCCACTCCAGCCATTGAAATGTAAAAGGAATATAAATGAAAGTGGTTCGTGTGCTTTGGAAGAAAGGCAACCTGAATCCCTTTCTTTAAAAATAATTTTTTTAGTCCTGTAAACAGGCTCACCCTTTTGATGGAGGAGTGCACTGGAGAGTGGGACGTAACTGCAGATAGCTCCAGTCTTCCATCCTCCCAATTCAGCCATTCCCAGGAAATTTGGAACTTCTCCCACCCTACCTGTATGTAAAGTCTCACAGGAGAATTCCATCAGGCCCAGCCTATGTCAGATGCCCATTCCTGGGATAGGGGGAAGGGTACTGTAATGAACAGCCTCACCAGACCCCATGGAATAGAGAGGGGCTCTTTCACAAAGGAAGAAGATGCTGTGCTCAGAAGTGGGGAGGGAATACTGGAAGATAAAAGCATACAGGAGACCAAAACAATCATTTACATTCACATTGTACATGTGGTGGTGGTGGTAAGGAAGAGGGTGTAATAATGGCGAAGAGGAGAATGTAATAGTGGTGAAGAGGGTATTCGAGAGGCACATATATGCTATTTTCTCCTTAAGAGAAAGTGGTAATTGGGAAGGTGGGTGCAGGCCTCTTGAGGGTAGAGGAGAGCAGGGATAGGACCCTGCATGTGAGGCCCGTGAGAAGGAACAGCTGGCTACACTGTGAGGAGTAGTTTGGGGAATTCATCAGCAGACACAGGAATTTGGCTGGGGAGAAAACTATGTTTTTTGATATTTCTAGTGCTTTGGATCCTCGTCTTGGATTATAGAGGCAGTAAAGGAAAAGGACAGAAATAAATTACAGGGAGCAGAGTGAAGAAATATGGGATAGTTTTATGCTGCCTTTTTCCAACCTCTTCACCTCTCTTTAAAGTTGAGCCTTTTTCAGCTGTGAGTCTGCACACCTGTGACACTCTCATGTTTCTGATTCCGGAAAGACACTCCTGTCACTGGTATCCGGGAGAACCACTTCCCAGTGATATGAGAAGAGATAGAATCTGATCCCGAGGGTGGAAGTGGCAACCAGTGAGCCAGTTTGTTGAAGTAAATGATGGCTGCAACAAGGAGCCCCCAGGCAGACCCATCCCCAAGCAAGGACTGCACACAGGGACAGAAATCAGCCCTTCATAGCAAAAGGCCTGACTATGAAGCTTCCCGCCAGCGCTTCAGGCAGTTCTGCTACCAGGAGGTAGCTGGCCCCCATGAAGCTTTTAGCAAACTCTGGGAACTCTGTTGTCAGTGGCTGAGGCCTAAGACACACTCAAAAGAGCAAATTCTGGAGCTGTTGGTTTTGGAGCAGTTTCTGACCATCTTGCCAGAGGAGATCCGGACCTGGGTGAGGGAGCAGTGTCCAGAAAATGGCGGGGAAGCTGTGGCTCTGGTTGAGGATGTACAGAGAGCGCCTGGGCAACAGGTGAGAAAAGGAAGGCAGAACCTTGTGGTTTTGGTTATGAAGAAATTGGGGTGAGGAGCACAGGAATCCACTTACTGGAGAGGCGCTCTGTTCAGAAATGCATGGTGGTATATGCACCAGAAAGTATTAGCTGTCTTGGGTTGGCCCTGTGCCCTTAGTCTATGGGAATAATTTCTCATTTGCTGAAATAACTTGGACATTCATATAGTCAGTGAATGTTTAGAGTCCATAATTAAAGTGGTAAAAACACTCAGAAAAGTTCTCCAAAAAAGGCCAGGGAAAGGACAACTATTCTTTACTCAGAGGGTCAGGAAAATTAGAGGTGTTGGTGAATTAACATCTAATATTTCTTGCTAGAAGATTCCTTGAGGGCAGAGTGCCATGTGTTGTACACTAAACAAAGTTTTATTAGAGCTGGTCCTTGCTGCCTGGATAAACTGGTCAGTCTAGGACACGGTGAGTTTCCCAAAATATCCACTCGTGGAGGTAGTGGGGCAAGGCCTCTCCAAGGGAACATTTGAGCTGAGATGTGAAGGAAAAGAAGGAGCCAGTTGTGTCAAGAGCTGGGAGGGCTGAGGGCACAGCACCCTCCAAGAGCCTCAGGTGGGAGAGGACTTGGCTGATATTTGAGAAAGAAGTGGGGACTTGTGGCTGGAGCTTCAGGATCAAGGAGAAGAGTGGTATGAGAGAAGATGAGAGAGGAAGGCAGTGGCCACTTTATGCTGGGCCTTTCAGGCTGCAAAGAGGAGTTTGGCTTTTATTCTACGTGCAGTGGGAAGCCGCTGAATGGTGTTAACATGGATGGATGTGATCTTACATTTTACAAGATCTACTGGATTCCGTGTAGAGAGTATGGGTTAGAGGATCCAGGAGCAGAGAAGATGCAGGGTGGCAGTTAAAAGGCAATGACCACAGTCCAGTCCAGAGGATAGTGTCCTGGACCAGGCTGGAGGGTGCGGAGAGGGAGAGAAGAGGATCGATGCAAGGGATCTTTTGAAGATAAAACTGGCTGGACTTGGTGATGCATTGGATTTGAGGGGAGAAGAAATGGCAGTAGTGCTGAGATCACAGGAGCTCTCTAAAGAGAAAGCTGATGTTCTCACTTCCAACACGTGTACACTACTTTTAGCACTTCTGGTGTGTCGGGCTCTGTGCTAGGTGCTTTCATGTAAATAATCTTACTTGAGACGAAGTGATTGAGACCAAATTCTGTTCATTTTTATTTTATTACATTGGCCCTGAGAATATTTCTCTTCTGCTTCCTTATGTCTCATATCACTTTTTAATGCCACTCTTAGGGGTTGTAAAGTCCAGCTTAGGCAGGAATTTGTAGTGACAGATGATAGGGTCTGTTCCAGGTCCTGGATTCTGGGAAAGACTTGAGAGTGCTCTTTGAGGAGACGGCGCCTTTAGGAGGAGCCAGAGAATCACTGAGATCCCACCTGAAACAGAGGGTTCATCCAGGGGAACGGAATTTGAAGGGGTCACAGAGCTCACACCATAGACCATGTGAACAGTCAGAAGGTAAGCAGAAGCCTCTGCCCTCAGCTGAGGTGGGGGAAGAACAATCATCTATTGGAAATGCAGTCTGCCCCTTGGTTCCAGATTATGCCTTTGAAATATAGGCAAAAGACAAGATTTCAAATTTTAGTTGATGGTAATAGCACGTGAAATAGGGGTGGAGATCATTTATGTGTTAGCCTAATTCTCTTTTATTTCAATTTAATTCTATTCCTTTTGAATCAGGCATATTAAAGAGGAACATGTTTACCCTCACCTTCTGCATAGCAGTTCTTCATATACTTAAAGACATTAAACCCCCTTTCCCATCCAGCTTAAGTTCTTCCAGAACAGATTTCTATTATTTTTGCTTTTTTCCAAAGTTGTATTTGTTATTTATACTGGTCCTAAGTATTTTAGAAAAATTTTTTTGATTAAAACAATTTTTTTAAATTGAAGTGACATTCACATAACATAAAATTAGCCATTTTCAAGTGAATGATTCAGTTGCATTTAGTACATTCACAATATTGTACAATCAGCACCTCTATCTAGTTCCAAAACATTTTCATCATCGCAAAGGGAAACCCTGTACCCATTAAGCAGTTTCTCGTCATTCTCTCTCTGTGGATTTGCCTGTTCTGGACATTTCATAGAAACAGAATTCTACAATATGTGACCTTTCATGTCTAGCTTCTCACTTAGTGTGTTTCAAGCCTGTATCACCACTTTGTTCCTTTTTATGGCTGACTAATATTTCATTGCATGGCCAAACCAAGGCTCTATCTTTAGAGGTCTCTTTCTGTGAAGCACTTTGGCTGCGTACATTTCTAGATAGTCTAACGGCCACTGCTGCCTTTTTTCCTTAACTGAAAGCTGCCATTACAGGTTGCTAAGTAATTTTTAAAACGCAGCTCATCTTTATATAACTCAAATCCTAGAGGAAAACTTTTTGTCTTCATGCTGTTTAAATTGGTAAGCTTCTGTTGATGACATGAAAAATAGTGTGAGTTTTATTTGCTTTTTTTTTTTTTTTTTTTGCTGAAGGAGATTTGGCCTGAGCTAACATCTGTGCCAATCTTCCTCTATTTTTCAGTATATGGCCCACCACCAGAGCATGGCTGGTAACAGAGTGGTGTAGGTCTGCGCCTGGGAACTGAACCCGGGCCGCCAAAGTGTAGCGTGCTGAACTTAACCACTAGGCCACTGGGGCTGGCCCTTGCTTTTGTAATTTTTGAGTGAGGTAAATACTCTATCAATATATTTGTAAACTTTGCCACTTAGCATTTATTTCCTTTTTCCTTGGGAACGTCTATGCTCTGTGGTATGTGATTTCTGTGGCTTTAAGGTCTAAGTAAATGGGGCAGGACTCAGTGTGTTCCAGGTGCTGCTCCCTCTGCTCACCGGGCCCATGGGCTGCTCAGATCCCAAGTGTTATAACCTCACAGAACTCTGAGTGTCCCTTGAAGTTCACCAAAATGAACCATTTCCTTTGTAGGACTCTTGAAGTTTGGGGATCTTGGAAAGAATATATTATCTTGGTCTGAGGAAAAATAAAAGGTTTGAGTTACTGTGGTATTTGTAACAGTACTATGTTTATCTCTGGGTGTTGGGGCCATGGGAGATTCCTTCTGAATATTCTATTAAAAATTTTTTTTTTCTATAATGTGCACATATTTCTTTAGAATGAAAAAAAAACTTTTTTCTTTTTCTTAAAGCTATTATGCCAAGAAGAATCTCGTGAAAGGAGCTTCTCAACACATGGAGAGGTCATTGGCTATGGCAGTGGTCCTCAAACTTCAGTGTGCTACAGACTCATCTGGGGGGCGTGTTCAAACAGATTCCCAGGCCTCACCCCCAGCATTTCCTATTCAGTAGATCTGAGGTGGGGCCCGGGAATATGCATCTCTGACTGGTTCCCAGATGCTACTGCTGCTGTCCCAGGGACCCCACTCAGAAACGCTTCTCTGTGGCTGTGGTAGAAGCTGCCCTCTAACAGAGGCTGTTTCTCTCCCAGCCTGGCTTACTCCGCAGGCTCCTAGGAACCTTCCCCAGAAGAGGGGTCTTCAAGACCAGGAGACAGGTGCTGTGCTCTGGATAGAAGGGGCCCAGGTGAGCTGTGGTTGACACCTTTTGTATCTTGAAGTTCCCATGTCACTTTGCACTCACTGTCACCCTAAAACCCCTACTTTTCCCGAGATGCTAGAAAGATGGCTCACGTGGTCCATTGAGCTTCTCTTGGCTTGTTTTCTTTTTTTTTTTTTAAAGATTTTATTTATTTATTTTTTTCCCCCCAAAGCCCCAGTAGATAGTTGTATGTCATAGTTGCACATCCTTCTAGTTGCTGTATGTGGGACGCGGCCTCAGCATGGCTGGAGAATCAGTGCGTCGGTGCGCGCCCGGGATCCAAACCCGGGCCACCAGCAGCGGAGCGCGCGCGCACTTAACCGCTAAGCCACGGGGCCGGCCCCTTGGCTTGTTTTCTTATTCTGTCTACTCTGCCATCATCACATGGGTCCTTACTCTGATCCTTGCCTCGGAGGCTTGACCTCCCTCTACTTTGCCCAGCCCCTGATCTGATGACTGTGGTCCTGTCTAGCCCCACCCCAGGCTAGAGCAGGGCTATTTTATCAGTAGCAGCAGACTCCGGTGTCTTTACAGGGACCAATCATGTGTGAGGACAGCGCCATATCCCTCTGTCAGGAAGGACAGACGCACTGTGGCCCTGCACAGAGGGCCCTCTACAGGGGTGTTACGCAGAAGAATGACAGATATGTCTCGCTGGGTAAGGATCTGCATTCCCTTTAGGTCCAGAATAGATGTGTTCAGTTGTTCAGAGAGAAAGAGAGACTGAAAGAATCTAAGAAGGAAGGAGACACGCAGAGGCAGTGGGGAGCCTGTTAGGTAGAGGGAAAGAAGGAAATAAACAGGAAAATACTGAGAGTAGGCAAGAGACACAGAGATAGGAAAACACAGACACTGTGACAGAGACAGAGAGAGACACAGAGACTGAAAGAAAGGGAAAGTGAGAGAGTCAGAGGGCTCACGACAGGGATGGACAACATGTGTGACAGTGAGCAAGAACAAGGGAGAGGGCATGAGACTGAAAGCAATGGGGACAGAGAGTGCAGGGAGATAAGGGATAGAGGGGGAGGGGAGACAGAGAGACAGCAAGAGAAACACAGCACAGGAGACAGACAGAAGCCATAGACTGGGAGGAACAGATGAGAGATGAATGAATGTGTGCCCACACACACAGCTATGCTATGTCCTGAGTGGCAGAGGAGATTAAAAAACAAAACAACCTGGGGCCGGCCCCGAAGTGTAGCAGTTGCGTGTGCGCGCTTCGCTGCTGGCGACCCAGGTTCGGATCCCGGGTGCGCACCAATGCACCACTTGTCAGGCCACGCTGTGGCGGCGTCCCATATAAAGTGGAGGAAGATGGGCACAGATGTTAGCCCAGGGTCAGTCTTACTCAGCAAAAAGAGGAGGATTGGCATGGATGTTAGCTTAGGGCTGATCTTCCTCACACACACACACACAAAACAAAAAACAACCTGACTGTGACAATCTACTTCTGCGCTCAGGCCCTTTGGGAGGCACCAGGAGCCCTTTTTCAAAAATCTCAGGACTGATCTCTTGCCTTCCTCAAATGAGTTCTGTCCCATCTGAGCTGCTGCTCCTCGGTGCAGCCTCCCTGAATGTCAGATTCACAGACAGATGCTCTGCAGCTGGCTTGGGCCTTGATGTCTCCTCCCTGCTTCTTCACTTGTAGGGTTTCCCAGTCATGGTCCACGTGTCATCTCTGGGCTGGATCAGAAAGAACACTAGGGACCTGTACCCCCCATATTCATAGCTACAGAGCAAGGAAGAATTTTGAGTTGCACAAGTGAGACGAGTGGAAGCCGATGAGACGCCAGCAGAGGGGGAAGAAAAAATCAGGGTGACGTGAAACAGCTGGCCTCGGCAGACGGGAAAGTGGCAGGCATGCCTTGGGCTGCTGAGAAAGCCAGGACTTTCCTGTGTGTTCTCAGTGAGCCTCGGTTTTATGAGAAACTCCAGGTGCACCAATAAAGCAGCCAGCTACGCGGGGAAGTCACTGAGCTATTGTGTTAACAAGGTTTCCACCAGACTCTGGAGCAGTGTTGAACCAAGTTCAGAAGCCTCTGGGCCAGTTCCTGTCGAGGGAGGCAAAGCCACAACCCAGAGCACTGTGCCTTTCAGGAAGAATGGGAGCTCTGCTGGCCTCACAGGTCTTCTCCAGTTCTCCCAGGACCTTGGCAGATGGGGCTGTTGAGGCCAAAGGGCCAGGTCAAGGCCCATGGAAATGGAAAGAGTTGGGGTACAGGGACATGGTGGAGGGCTCAGATAGCTACCCGTCCGACAGCAGGCAGCCAGTCAAGGAAAGTGGGAGCCCCGGCACCTACAGCCTGCTCCAGAGCCACCTGAGTGAGGACCTCTCTGCACGTGTGTTCTGGTACTGATCACCTATAAGCAAACATCCCCACACGGGGCCATGTTTTCCAGCTCTGAATCGAAGATGGTTCCTGTTCCTTCACTCTATGGGTACATTGGGATAAAGGCTATAGTGGGTACCAGTGTGAAGCCATTCATTTGGCCATGTGCAGGTTACACAGAGGGAAAAGTAGGACCTAAACTTTTATGTTGTCTGGATAACCCAGGGAGTTTTCGTTTGAGTTTTGAAATTGGAAAGCCAAAGCCAGGTGTGTTTCTGTCATGAAAGTAGTGAATTGTCTGGCTAGGTGCTATATCTAGATTTTGTCACTAGAACATAAAAGAATGAAGGTGACGTTAGCCTGGGGAATGAGTGCTGTATTCTCTATGGAAAGTGGGTGATGTCCTAGCAGGTGCCATTGTGTGAATTCAAGAGGCTGTCATTTTAGTCTAGTTAACAGGTTCCATTGCAGCTGCAGGACAATGGAGCAGAATAAGAGTGATCAAGAGTGCAGGGGCAGAGGGTGGGTTGCAGTTTTTGTTTGAGTTGTCAGAGTAGTCCTCATTGAGAAAATGACATTGGAACAAAGACTTGAAGGAGGAGAAGGAACAAGCCATGTGGCTCTCTGGGGGAAGAGTGTAACACACAGAGGGAATGGCCAGTGCAAAGGCTCTGAGGCTGGAGTGAGTCTAGGCAAGGAGGCTAGTGTGACTAGTGCAGATTGAGAGAGGATGAGAGCAATAAACAAGATCAGAGTCATGTCACATGGGGCAGTGCTATTGAAAGTGACATGAACTGAAATGGAGAGGAAGCATTTAAAAATTTCATCACTGTACATCACTGTACTATCCAACTGCATGTTTATTATATTTCTAAAAAAAATAAAAAAAAACCCTGGTTCTTCGCAGATAATTTGAGAAGCACTGTTTCAGGCCTTGTGGCCCTACATATAGAACTTTGTAAGGACTTGGACTTTTTCTGAGTGAAATGGGGTGGCTTTGCAAGGTTTCTGAGCAGAGGAGTAACACTTTCAAAAGGATCACTTTGAGTATTTCAATGTATTTGGCCCTTTACCTAAACATTTGTTTGTGTCTCCTTTTTGTTACACAGATTTTCATAGGACTGTGGCCTCCTTGAAGGCAGAATCCATGTCATGTTGATACTTGCATTTCTCAGTGGCATAGTAGGTGCTCATACATGTTAGTTGAATTGAGTGAAGGAGGTGGCCCACTTTGACAGCTGGGTTGAAAATAGACTGTAGGAGGTCAAGAGTAGAATCAAGAAGACTGGGTAGGTGGCTACAGCAGTTATCCAGGTTTGAGATGATGGCTCAGAGCAGAGTGGAGGAGAGAGGGTGATGAGAAGGGGCTGCTGCGTGCCCTTCGGAGCATCATGACCAGATGTTATCAGAACCCACTTGCCGGGACAGCTCTAGACAAATGAGCCCTCACTGACCGGCCCAGACAAGCACCCCTTTGAGGAGTGTGTGCAGTGGTCTGGAGCAACTAGCCATCTTGTCTGCTCCATTCAGACGTTTACTTCTTATTCTCAGCTTGGGATAGTAAGTGCTGTAAGTTAGTTTCTTGCATCTACACTGATGACAGGAGATATAAATAGTTGGGGATGGGTCAGATCAAGAGGTACTCGGGCATCAGAGGTGGCAGTAGGCAGAAGTATCCTATAACCAGCTCTTCTCTCCTCTGACTCTTTGCTTCCCTCCGAGTCTCGCCTGTTCACCATGCCCTCTTATGCGGCCGTAGGCCCTCAGGGATTCCCACAACTGGAGGCAGGCAAGCACTACCCTTATCGTGAGTCATATCGCAGGGGAAATGAGTGGGATTCAGGGTAAAGAGAAATAAAAAAGGCAGCTTTATTTCTGCAACTCCTTCTCAGCTGAAGAGGATGTCTTTTCCACTACACTGAAAGTTTTTGTTTTAGGAAAAAAGCCCACAGTGAGATATGTTCCCAGGAATGACAGCAGCCAGTTGTGGCATAGTTTGAGAAACTAGGATGTAAGTTCTTGGGCTGCTAAAAGCCTGCACTGTGGTATCTGGTCCTCTCTGATCTGATCGCTGTGTTTCTTGTGCCCTGGCAGCAGGTGTGCACTGGGGCTATGAAGAGACCAAGACACTCCTGGCCGTTCTCAGTAATTCTGAGTTTCATGAAAAACCCCTGACCCGTGAGCAGATCATCCAGATCTACAGGGCCGCAGCAGAACAAGTGCAGGAGCAGGGCTTTCTGCGGACCGCAGAGCAGTGTCGCACTAAGGTCAAAATCCTACAGTCGCGTTACCACAAAGTGAGGAGAGGCCATGTGCCTGAGCCTTGTATCTTTCATGAGGAAATGGATGCCCTTTCAAGCTCCTGGTCCTCTGCAGCAACTGTGGCAAGTGATGCTGTTCCTGGCCAAGAGGGAAGTGATATGGAGGCTGGAGAGCTGAGTCTGCAGAACAGGGAGCCCACAGAGGTTGGAGAAGGTACCACTGTGGGTGCTGCAGCAGGGGATGAAAAGGACTTCAGGGATCCTGGCCAGGAAGTTAGCAGATTTGACCTGTCAGTCCTGTTCCCAAACAGACTTGGTAAGACTCTTGGCTCTGACAGTCAAAGGGTGGAAAGTCCACTTAGAGACCATTAGCCTGGCAATGAAGAGGGAGCCATTTCTGCTCCTGGCCTTGTCATCATCTTGGTGTTGACTTGATACAGGCCAGGGAGTCTTGGTTTTCATGGTGTTTGAAGATTCTTTCCCTTGCTCTTTAGACTCCAATTTTGCCTTTGTCATCCTCTTTCACAGAGTCCATGTCATTTTTTCCCATGGAGTTCCACATACTTTGCTTCCTTAGATTGCCACTTAGGCCTCCAGCCCAGACTCTCTCTCCTTCCCTCCTCCTCCAGCACTGATCCTCCTTTCATGACCTAAAGCTGCACTTGCTAGCTACTCAGCAACTTGCTTTCTTCATGTTTGAGCTGGCCATTCAGGGTGGCCTTTTGTTTTTCTCTTCACAGAAACTTGGCCATTGAAGTATTGAGGATACATGTACAGACAGATTGACAGATGACACAGAACTTGACTCTTTGTTTCAGTTTTATCATTGTGTCAGATCATCCAAAAAGAAATAGGAGAAAAGTTGGTGGAGTTAGGGTATATTTGCCTGTGACCACAAATTTGGACCTTAAAAATATTGCAATTGGAAAGAGAAACTTAGGCTTTTAATTAGCAGAAGACTGAATCACATGAAGAAATCTAATTAGGATTTCTTCTTAATGTAGTTCTATTGTAACTCTTTTCTCATTCCATTTGTTTCCTTCTCTCCAGTCCATTGTATTTCTGTTCTTTCAGATTTTGAGATCAAGAATGAGATTAAAAAGAAGAATCTGAAATGGAATGACTCAGAGGAAGCAGACATGAACAAGGCTTTACAGAGAAAGTCTAGTGAAGTTTTTTGGCACTCTGAGCTAAAAAGAGGCTGGAAGGGTGAACCAATGTCAAGAAGGCAACATAGATGTTCTCCGGGGGAGAGTGAGGAGAAACCCCCATCCCAGGAGAGGATGAGTCACCAGAGACTTCCTACTTGGAAGAAGGCCTGTGCACATCTCCTGTGTGGGAGAAAGTGCTCTCAGAGTTCTCCCTCTCACCACCAGCCAGCTCCTGAACTGGAAAAAACTTCTCAATGTCACGAATGTGGGAAAAGCTTTAGCCGAGGTTCTTATCTTGTTCGGCATCAGAGAGTCCACACAGGAGAGAAGCCTCACAAGTGCAGTGAATGTGGGAAGGGCTTTAGTGAGCGCTCCAACCTCACGGCACACCTAAGAACTCACACAGGGGAGAGACCCTATTGGTGTGGGGAATGTGGGAAAAGCTTCAACCAGAGCTCCAGCCTCGTTGTCCACCAGAGGACGCACACTGGGGAGAAGCCTTATCAGTGCACTGTCTGTGGAAAGAGATTCAACAACAGTTCCCAGTGTAGCACCCACCGGCGAGTCCACACTGGGGAGAGCCTGTACAAGTGTGTTCAGTGTGGGAAAACCTTCAACAACAGCTCTCACTTCAGGGCCCACCAGAAAACCCACACTGGGGGAAAGCCTTACAGGTGTTCTCACTGTGCAAAAAGCTTCACCAAGAACTCTGCCCTCACCCGCCATTGGGGGGTACACATGAAAGAGATACTCACATCACAGGAAGGAGGAGAGATGCCATGAGTGTGCAGGAAACCTGACAGATTAATTCTTTAGGTCAACATATGTTCCTTAGAGCTTCCTTCTGCTTATGGAGAGTTCTACTAGCCAATCCCTGGCTTAGCAGTAGAGTCATTGAAAACCAGTTAAGCACTTAAGAACCCTGCCCAGCAGTAAGAATCAGGATAAGAATGATGAACTCTTTCTAGCTCTGCCCTCAACTCCAAAGTCCTGTCTCACTGGACTTCAGTTTTGCTTAAAGGTAAGAAGGCTTTAGGATCCATAAGTCCTGCGAGGAAACCAGGGTATCTTTCTTCTGAACAGACAGTGGGTGGCCAGTGGCCTGAAAAGTGTTTCTGGGCCATGCCAGGGAAGGATTTGTTTCTCATGGTGGGAAGCAACACCTAGAAGTTAACAGCCTGGATCTATACTAAACCAATAATTGACCTCTATGCCCCTACTGTTATGTACTACTGCTACCTTCAGGGAAGATCACTACTCTGTAACCCAGCCACCACCAAAATGGGAACAAAGGAGAGGAAGGATAGGTTAAGCCAGTGGGTAATATTAAATCTAAGCGACTTATCTTAGAGCAAGTGTAACATGTAGGTTAATCTTTGTAAGATTTCTCATCTTAGCATCACCCCCACCCCAGTTCCTGGTTTCTTGTCTCTTACAGTAAATGGTTTCTACAAGTTCATAAGCATTACTATTTCTGCTGAAAATAAAAGTGTTTCTCCCTCCACTTCCCTGGCCTTTGGTTGTAATTTTCTCCAGTAGAAACACACTCATGCAGAAGCCTGCAGGGTCCTGAAGGGGATCTAAGTGTAGAACCTGCTTCAAGGCAGTAGGACATGCAGAGAAGGAATAAGGGGTAGGAAATGGGGAGAGGAGGAATAGAATTGGGTTGGGAAGAGTTAGAGCTGTCACTAAGAAGGGAGATCACAGGAGTAAGGAAAATACAGGGGCTACTGGAGGCTCTGATTGTAGGTGAAAGGAAGGGGGGGTGTGAGGAGCACCAAGAACAGAATTTAAAACTTGCTGATTCCAATCAAGGGCATATTTAAGCTTCTGTAAAATCACCATGGGTAAAAAGTGTTAAAAGATGGGTATGTTGTCCATGGTTCTTGGCCTCCGCGTACAGGGTGTTACTACCTTAACTAAACTATGGTAAAAAGCAAGTGTCACGGTCTCTGCTTGAGCCTTTTTGAGGAATTAAATATGAGCAAAGGAGAATGTACATTGTACCTCAGCCAAATTTTTTTTTTTTTTTACTTTTGGGGAAGAAGGAGAAGCAAAGGCAGGATGTAAGAATATACTTCAGTGTTTCCTCAGGTTGAAGCTTGCCTGGGCTATTCTACATACACTGTTCTGGAGTGTGGCCCTAGGACAAGCTATGCAGGCCAGTTCCCAGCATCACATACTTACTTCTGCTCTACACAGAGGAAAGAATAACGTTTTTGAAACGCTTGGGCAAAGGCGGAGAGGTGGGCTTGAATGTGACCAGTTTGGGTCAGCCTGACATCACTGGAGATTCAAGGTGGGGAAGAGGGAGACAGCCCCGGGGGTGGATCGATTACTGAAGGGCTTTGGATACGAATTCAGATAAGTTGGATTTGATAAATGAGGTGAGCTAGTGAAAGTCAATGGAAGTGTAAGGAAGTAGAGGTACTCAATGAGGCCTCACTAGCAGGTTCCTACCACTCTTGGGTCAGCTGGGGCTGGGGCAGGGGACTGGGATGCAACTGTTGAACTCTGCATTTTTATGTTGCCTCCACCCTCCAGACTGCTTTATCCTCTAATCCACTAGGTAGGAAAAGGAACACAGAGTACTAAAGCCCCCAAACGTTGCTTGTCAGCTACTCTGGATGGACTGGAGTAGACAGGTAAGAACTGTAGAATGCATTTATACATTCATAAAGGAAATATTTGATTGCTTATAATTTACCTGGTTTTGTAGTAGGAGCCAAATACAAAGGCGTGAACTAAGTAGACACTGTATCTTCCAAAACCAGCCTCATCGGACTCCTCGGAAGTACAGGTTTCCCCCGCTATCTGAAAGTTTGCTTTATAGCACTTCCCTTTTACAAAAGACCTATATCAGTACCTCTTTTTGCTAACCAAAAGAAATCTGAAGAGGATTTTCGCTTCTGCGAAAAAAGGCAAAAAGCAAAAATAGCATTCAGTGTTTGTTTTGCAGCGAGCTGTTACAGTGGCTAAGCAGTCAAGCATACTGTCTTATTTCAAGCCTGAAACATCAGGCATGGTGGACAAGTAACCTTGACCTTCCACTGGAGGCAAGCAGACATAGGTGTAGATGTTAGTGATGGATTCAGACGGCAATGAGATGTTAATAGACGACCCTCTTCCTCTCTCTCCTACACCCCAGTCTCCTCTGTACCTCCCACTACTCCAACCTCTGACAGCTGAGCCTAACACACCAGCATCACCACCACCACTTCTCAGCCTTCCAATGTGCTCACCCTCTTCCCGATTCTGGTAAGTGAAACTACATTGTACGTACATTATTTCTACTTTATACAGGCTGTGTATTTATCATACCTGCTTTCACTATGTTGTCTTATTTTAGGTTTTATGTGTTATTTATATGATTTGGTAGGTTATTTTTTGGGTCTGGGAACGCTCAAAAATTTTTCTCATATAAATTAATGGTATTTGCCTCTTCGCTTTGACCTGTCTTGGCTTACGAAAGGTTTCATAGCAACAATCTTACTTTCGGATAGCAGGGGAAACCTGTACCAGCACCAGTCAGGCAGCACCCCTCTAAGATCTGAGTCCCAGGTCTGCAGGACCTCTCTTGCAAGCTTCCCAATTATGATAAACCCAACATTTTCCCTATGTGCCCCCAACCCCACATGTGGTAGCTGCTTCCTACAGTTGATATGTTACCTTAGTGTCTGCCTCCCATTGCCTAATGCAGCCTGATCACCACACTAACCAGTTGAGAATGAGTTTGAAGTACATATACAAGAGGCAGCACCCTAAACTCTATAGATTTCCTCTGATGTGTAACATTACCCTCCTGGTTTGGTTCAGCCCTTCATATATCCATTAAAAAGCCAGTTAGTCTTCCCCCTATAAATCAAATACTGGGGCTCTCCATATAGTTTCTATACCTCCCTTTCTCACTGAAACATTTTAACTAACTGATACAATTCTTCAATTGACACTATTCCTTTTTCTCAGGGATTCCTAACCACTTCCTACAGGCTGGATCAGATCTTCTCACAACCCAGAGAAGCAGGGCAAAGCCTACAGATTGTCATCCTTGTCACACATATACTGTAGATTCTCAGCCTAAGGTGGTGGATGGATGGTCAGAATCAAAACAAGAGCTGGGCCCCTGAAGCCTCCTTAGCCCACTTTCCTTTTTGCCAGCTCTTCTAATGCCTCTCCTAGGAGGAGACCAGCTTACCAGTCAGTTTGGGAACAGCCCAGGACTTCTGGGATCCTGGGCTAGAGTGTAGCCATTTCATCGCTCCCTTCATCGCATGCGAATGCTCACTTTCACCATTATCAGTTCCAGCCTCCTTGCAGTCCTGCTGCTCATCTTTGGCTTGACTTTGCGGTAGAGACAAAGAGAAGGACTGAGCGTTCTTTACTTGTGGAGAACACAGAACTCTAGCAACTACCCCCACGACTCCTTGTAGTAGGGTATTTAGCCTGAAAGATTTTGAACTTGGTGCTGCCCTGCTCTGGTATCTGGAGGAAGCTGTGCTCCTGAAGCTGCTCAGGCATTCCCCATATACTTGGGCATTCTAGTGCCACCTCTGGAGTTTTTCATAAATTTGGGATTTACAGAGAATTGTAAGTAAAGTCTGAGTTTCCTGGTAGCCCCCTACATACCTGCTATGATAGATTAAGTGACTTGCATAATGACTAAAGTGAAAGAGCTGGATTTTGAACATGGGTGAAATCAATTCTAAAGCCTTTAATTACTTCAGTCTGTCATTCTCGATAGTCTTTCTGGCTAACAATTTCTGTGCAACCTTGGAACACAGACCTTATACCATCAGGGCAGTCTGGTTGTGCTTCTCAGGAGGACCCAGGCACAGCTTAGGCTTCATGTCACACCCATTACCACCAGCTATCTCCCAGGCATGCTCTTATGCCTGGCACTAGATTAAGAGCTAGGTATTACACAGTATAGACTAGTCATGGTTCCTAAGAAGCTTCTATAGCCTGAAGGTAGAAAAGGCAAAAAGAGACCCATTACAAAGAAAGAAAGAAAGGAGACCCATCAGAGATCTCACTTGTTAGAGGGGATGGTCACACAGTCCCCCTTACCATCGAGGTGTTATCCATCGGAGGTCATCGATGGTTAGCCATCAAGGCATTGTCCATTGGAATCTCCAGTTGGATTTTTGTTATGAGTCAAGACTTCACACCCAGATACAGGAGACAGTGGCAGTAAGCTCACATGTCAGATGTAGAATTAGTATACTCTCTGGGGCTCCTGGGGTTACCAAGTACACAGTGGGGCTTCATGCATTCATCCACACTCTCCCTTGCCCTCTCACCTTGGCTTCTTACTAGATACCTGGCCATGGATCATTTCAGCTGTATTTTCATTTTCCTTGATGGCCAAGCCGCCTGACAGGTCCAAATGGGATTTTCTCTTTGGAAAGTTTCACTCCTCTGGTAGTGTCTTCTGATTCAGGATCACCCTGTCCAGGCTGACCTAGCTCCCACGTAATCATTCAGAAAACTTTCTTATCAGTCTAAACTAAGATCAGGCTCTCTTCCTTGGGTGGCAGTAGGTCACCATGAATGCCCCAAAACATAGACCTGATTCATACATGACCCTTCTAAGAGCTCTCATGGAATGAGGCTTTCTGAAAGAAGGACCAGAGGAATACATAGCCTACATATGGAACTAAGCCGTCTCAGCCTGACATCTGCATCCCAATTCTGGTCATAACAGAACTATAAGGTCATGTCTATGATGTCATGGGCACTGACAAACTCTCATCCCTGGATTCTTCCTGCCTCTTCCTTTTGCAGCCTGAGACTCTGTATCTCACCATTTTCTTTAAATAGCTGGGTTCTTCTTTAAGGCCCCATGGTCTGAGTGGTCTGAGCATGAGTTCTGGTTCTTCTCTTGGGAAAGCCCCTGAGGATGAGCTTCATGGGCCCCAAAAAGCTTGGCAACTCCCCACATAACCCCAGGGTTGCTGGCTCTTCTTGGAGCACACAAACCATCACCTGGAAATAAAACCCCATCACTGACACCCTACCTCCCCAACTCCACCCCAGATTATCCTATGGGCCAAGGGAAGAAAGGTACAGGAATAGATATTCCCAGAAATTCAGAGCTAAAAACTTGAATGAGGAGTGTGGTATGTGGTGCTGGGCAGGGTAGGGAGTAGAAGAGTCAGGATCCCAGTGCCACACCTGACAGTAGCAGAGAGCACATCAGCGTCCTGTTTGCTCAG